TGAACGTTCCTACGGATGCACCTTTGGTGGGAAGGGCAGTCCTAGGTTTCCTGGTCCCTTATTTATAACGGAGGGACTGAAACATTCAGAAGCCCCAAGCAGTGAGCAGTTAGATGCGGGCATATTTTGACCCCTGGGGTTGAAGTGGTTGTTCCCAAAACTGACTGTGTTTTCACTCTCTGAGGCACGTGTTGGATATCCCAACCCAAAGCTCCGGGGCCCAGTCACCCTGCTGCCCTCTGCACAGGCCCCAGAGACTTGTTCCTTTAAAAAAAAATTTTTTTTGTACAGATAGGGTCTTGCAATGCTGCCCAGGCTGGCCTTGAACTCCTGGGCTCAAGTGATCCTCCTGCCTCAGCCTCCCGAAGCGCTGGGAATACAGGCATGAGCCGCCAAGCCCAGCTGATTTGCTTCTTTGAATCAGTTCCTAGCAGACCTACTTGTGCTTTCCTCCTTCGCCCCTGGCCCTGGGTGTCCTCTGTGAGAAGGGACAATGACAGCGCTGTGCTCTGAGGAGCTGGCTTAGTTGCCTGTCACTTGGATGATGGCTCGTGCCGTGGCTTTGGACGTCTCCATCAGCACCGCGTCCCCTGCCTTGCAGCATCTGATATAATGGTAGGTGCCCAACAAGTATCTTTGCGTTGGATGATAAGTACTCTCACATCCTTTTTAAAAAAATTTCCCTTCAACATTTTATTATAAACATTTTCAAATACACAGAAAAGTTGAATGCGTTTTCCAGTGAACATGCACATGCGCACCCCCTGGATGGCATTTTACTGTATTTCTTCATCACACAGCTCTCCATCTACCCATAGTTCATCTTCCTGTTTTCTACCTTTCAAGGGGAGCTGCAAACCTCAGTACGCTTCACTCCCAAAGGCTTCCACGCGTGTATCATTAAGTAGCATTCAGGAATGCCTTTCTAGTTAATTTTAGGTAAAATTTACATAGAGTGAAATGTTCCAGTCATAAGTAAGTGCACCACTTGCTGAGTTGTGACAAATGCAGACATCTGTTAAATCAGACTCCTCCCAAGGGAAAGATGTTCCGGTCCCCCAGAAGGTTCCTTCTTGTCCTTCGTCAGTCAGGTCACTGCCCCCAGCGGCAGCCACCTTTCAGGTTTTTATTTCGTTGTAGATGAGTGTTGCCTGTTGTAAAACTTCTTAGAAATGATTCATACTGCACATGCGCGTCTGAGTCTGGCTTCTTTCCCTCCCTGTAGATATTCCGAAAATTGTCCTCGTTGCTGTGGGTGTCGGTAGTTTTGTCCCCTGCTGTTGCTAAGCGGCGCCCCCCGTGTGCATGTACCCATCACGGAGTACCTCCCACTCTCTACCACTGAACACACATTAAAACACCCTTATATACAATCGCTCACTTGACTCAATTTGCCTGAGGCCCCACTGCCAATTCGAGGGCAGTCAGGATTTGTCTCTATGTTTCCAGGCAGGGAACCCACGCAAAGGTCAGCAATGTCGACCTGCCCAATCTCACTGGCCCTCCAGCCACCTCTGCTCCCTCCGCCGCCAGCCCCAGCCAGTGCTCAGGAATTCCTGATGGTGGTGGGTTCGCTGGCCGCCTCGGCTTCCTCACCTGTGTTCCCCCTTCAATTCACCACAGGCTGGCTTTGGCGTCCTCTTCCCGTCTTATCAGTCCTCCCTGCAACACTCAGTGAGGTCAGCCACCCCTCCTCACAGATCCTCCCCTCTGCGGCCCTCTGTGCCCACCCGCCTGCCTCCATGGCTGCTGCTGTCCCTCCTCTGTGACCATCAGTGTCGAGGGTCTTCAAGGCCTGGTTCTGGACAGCTGTCTCTGCTCTCTGAACTCTCAGTCCCTACAAGGTTGCACCAGGAACCATGGCTTTAAATTTCATCCACGTGCTGGTAACGCCGCAGCCAGACCTTCCCTTAATTCTGGAAGCTCCAGGCTTGCATAACTGTAATTTCCACTTTGGGCTCAAATGATCCTCCTAAACAGCACCAGAAACAGAAGCCGTGGGTCCCCTCTCTAATCTGATCCTGCCCCGCCCCCCCAGTCCCAGTAAGTGGTCCCGTGAACCCAGATGTAGCTCAAGCCTGAAGCCTGGGGGTCATTCTTGATTTCTCCTATGACATTATCTCCTACATCCAATATATTACCAATGCACAGGGCATCCATCTCCAAATCACATGTTTTTTTTTTTTTTTTTTTTTTTTTTTTTTTTTTTTTTTT